TAAATACCCTAGAGCCTACATTAAGATAAGACTATGCGAAGTAGGAAGCCTAAAGTCAACGTAGGCTCTAGAGTGTTTATTTTTTCCCTTGTGTAAGGTGGGGTTGTAGAAAGGAAGCTGCGATATATTGATTTGCTGCATCATCGTCGTGCAGGTGCGGGGCCGAACTCCGCGCTAGTCACCCGCTCCTACCACAGCTGAGCACAAACTCCTCGAACAGCACCCCACAGCTTTCTCGAACGTGGCAGTATGCGAGCTACAGAGAAATGTTGGCACGGTCGATGATATGGAGCCTTGTGCCGAGAGACTTCGCTCCATGCCGACTGGCGGCACACCGACCAAATCGTGGTTACCGCATCCACTTCAACGAGTACCCAAACACTTCGCTCCACCTAACGCGTCATATCATCGTGTGACTACAGGCGATCCTAACGAAGAGGCTTCTCGCTCGCGTAGTCGCTCGAAGAAAATGGTTTACGGAGTTCTCTTCGGCGCATTGGTCATCGGCGGCGGAAGCTCGGGCTGGTACTTCAATCAACGTGCCAGAAGAGGCGATTTCCCGAGCTTGTACGAAGCCGATATCGAGGCGGTGACGAAGGGCTTAGAGCGAAATCATTTTACTAGTGTGGATCTTGTCAAGGCAAGTAGCTGGCATTGAACACCATCCCCGAATTCGTTGCTTAACGCTGCCAAACAGACTTACATCACTCGTATCAATGAAGTGAACAACATATTGCGCCCAGTCATCGAGATCAATCCTGATGCGCTGGATATAGCGACTGCACTTGATGAGGAACGCTCGAAGGGCACGGTGCGAGGGTGAGTACGAGGTTAGAGATACTCACGACATCCGCTGACTTTCAGACCGATGCATGGCATCCCTATACTCATCAAAGACACGGTGAGTACTTCACTTCAACTGAAGCAACATGTATCTGCATTTCTAGAAAGTTAACACTGATATCAGATCGCCACAAAAGACAAGATGAACAACACCGCTGGATCCTACGCGCTCGTCGGAGCTAAGGTTCCATCTGATTCGACTATCGCGAAGAAGCTCAGAGAGGCAGGTGCCATCATCCTGGGGAAGACAAATCCTAGCGAGTGGGGCAGCTTCCGGATACCATGGGACTCGAGTAACGGCTGGTCAGCGTATGGCGGACAGACATACGGAGCGTTCTATCCTCATCAAGATCCGTCTGGTAGTTCCAGTGGAAGTGCCGTTGCAGCTTCGTAAGTAAGTATACCAAAGTGTAGATACCGACTGATGATGAAGGCTTGGTTTAGCTACCGTAACCCTGGGCGGCGAGACTTATGGTTCTATCATCGACCCCGCCAGTGTCAACAACGTCGTCGGAATGAAGCCAAGTACGCATAACTGAACCTAAGAACGACCCATCAGCTGACTCAAAACATCCGTTGGATTTACGTCTCGCTATCTTGTCGTACCAATCAGCGAGCGCATGGACACCATCGGCCCCTTAACAAAAACCGTCAAAGACTCCGCCTACGTCCTCCAAAGCATCGTAGGCACCGACGTATACGACAACTACACCTCTGCCATCCCAGACAATGTCGACAAAGACTTCGTCGGCGCCTGCAAGCTTTCCGCACTCAAAGGCGCGCGACTAGGTGTCCCTCGCAACGTGATCAACCTCATGTCAGACAACACAACAGACTCCATGATCGCAGCTTACAACAACACCCTAGACATCTTACGCTCAGCAGGCGCAACAGTCATCGACACCGATTTCCCAGCTGCCCAAGACTTCCTAAACGATACCCTGCTAGCCCTACAAATCATGTCCGCCGATTTCGTCGTAAACATCGGATCCTACCTCAAACAACTAGCCTACAACCCGCACAACATCTCCACCCTCCTCGAACTCCGAGCCTGGACGCGTCAAAGCCGACTAGAAGGCTACCCATCCAAATCAACAGGCGTCTGGGATTTTGCGCTGGACAACTGGAATAACACGACTCCAGAGTTCTGGCAAGCGTACCAAAAAGGTCTGTACTACAACAGCGAAGGAGGCTTGCTTGGAACGATCAAACGGCACGGTCTCGATGCTGTTATTCTGCCGTCGAAGTTTTCGTGGTCCTTTGCTGCTGTTGCTGGGGCGCCGGTTGTGAGTATGCCGATGGGGGCTATGGGGGATAAGCAGCCGGTTGTGGTTGATCCTGATGGGTTGGTGCAGTCGGGGCCGGGGATACCGTTTGGGTTCAGTTTCTTGGGGGAGAAGTGGAGTGATGCCAAGATTGTTGGACTGGCGTATGCGATGGAGCAAAGGACGCGCGTGAGGGGGGAGGTGAAGCCGATTGTTAAGCCGCGAACTGAGCTTTGGGACGTTGTTGGGAGGGAGTAGATGTGCTTGCTATCTTGGCTCATAATTCGAATCGAGATCAAAGCAGTCAGCGCACTGCGTCAGCATCCGGACTTCTTCATTTCACGCTGGCCGCACAACTTTGTCAGTATTGGAACAAGTATGTGGAGCCTACCAGATACCCTTCCATACAATGACGAAAGGTGGATCTTTAAGGGTACACGAAGCGAAGAGCGTTTTGGCAGCGGCCACCTGGGGTCTACAACACAATCATGCCACGACATGCGTAGGGATCAGAGAGAGTACAATGGGCCGATTCTACAACCCATTCAGTCCGCGTCGGTCCATAGTTGCAGATGCAGGTACGGATGCGGATGCAAATGCAGGAACAACCCCCGGATCCACTACAGAGCAACCGCAATCGAAGGAACGCACAGCGGCGCCGAAAAGCCGTCACGCACCGCACCCCTCCGTCGGCACCATCCCAGACAGACTAGACGATATAAAAGACTACGTACGCGGTGTCAGCAGCTACATCCAATGGCTTCAAGGCCTCACCGAACACGAACGATCGAACGTCACCCGCGTTACAGAGATCAAGCGCGAACTGAAGAGTGCGCACCGCGATCTCGAGAAGCTCGATGCCAACCTATACTGCGAGATTGGAGATGAAATTGAGGCACTGGTCAAAGATGCGAAGAGACATGCTTGGCGGTCGTATAAGAATGTGGTGAAGCTTGAGGAGAGGTTGCGAGGACCGAAGAGCGGAGATGATACCGGCGTCAAGCTGCGAAGGATTTCGGGGCCGCAGAATGGAGGGAGGAGGAATACGTCGACGGATAATGGAAAGGTTGAGGCGTATGTTCGTGGGGAGGCGGAGGAAGAGAAGCAGGCGTTTGAAGACGCTCTTGACGTGCGTGGACGGCCTGTTGAAGGCGACCACTACGAAGACACGTACCTCATGTCCGGTGGGCTACCGGTTGGAGATATACAACCGCCAGTTGCAGTCCAGAGAGCAGGACGCGCCAACGCATTCGAGGCGCTGAGACAACTACCGCGTCTCATCATCCACGGAGCGCCGTCGCAATGCTCAGAGAGTCTGCACCTACCTACAACGCATCCCCTCAAGTTCCCGCAACCGAGAGACGAAGTCAAGCTGCGCGTACAAGAAGAGGAGGCCAACATGGATCCTGTTCTGCGCGACCCGTACAAAGAGCGCCGAGGTAGCTGCAACGGCTTCATGATCACCGAGATGACGATGCAAGGGATCGAGGACGCTCGCTTCGTTCTGCCTTATCTGCACTATATGAAGCTTCACGAGCTGCGTGCGATCAAAGAGTGGCTGAGCAATGCAGGCTTCATTGCGAGCTCGGGTTCGATGAGTCGCATGGAGAAGGCTCTTCTGTGTATACAGCTCCTGCAGACTGGCTGTCGATATGAAACATTGGCTGTAATCCACTCGCGCGCGCCGCGGCAAGTCATGGAGTCGTGCAATGAAGTCATGCGAGCGTTGCTGCAATGGCATCGGATGACGGTCGACGATGGCGACATAGGAGACCAGGCCGAATACATCGTTCTCTGGGGTATCTGGCACAAGTACGTCGTCTCTGATGGAAGAGCAGGGCTGTACTTTGGTTTCGACTGGACGTGTCTCGCCAAAGTCCTCGTCGCACTCAACGTGTACATGGGCCGCTGGCGCATGCAGGGCAAGTTTGCCATGGACAGTCCTGCATTTGCATGGGGCAAGTTCTTCGTGCCGGCGGTCGATGGCAGAGAAGTCCCGGATACGATGGATGGAAACCAAGGAGAGCGTAATGACGCCGAGAGGAGGTCTCTGGACGAGGTGGCTCGGCGGGGTACAACTGTGTGAGCGGAAGCACAGACGGGTGAAGGACTCTTTTTGGCACGGTCAAACGGCCTTTTCCCTCAGGACGCAGCACGGCAATTCGGCTCGTATAGAGTGGCGCGCAGGCCGGCAATGGTGGGCCATGACGATGCGGATCCATTAAGCGTTTAGGATTCGTGCTCCACATCGTATCGCTATCGCAGCGGCATATCGCATGGCAGCGCGAGTGGCGTAGAGAGCAGACGGTCGCTTCAAGGGTCGCAGTGCAGCGTGCCTGGTGTTTCACAATCTCCTTGGCTCCCGGCCTGGCGCAAAGCCACCCGCGGTATGCAGGTGAGACACGATAGCGCGAGGTCGCACAAGCGGCTGGGGGAGTCGTTTGCGGCCTGCTCGAGACCAAACGACGGCAACGGACAGCGAGTGAGGCGAGTGCAATATTCAATGAACCGATCCTCAGCCAGCAAGCCATTGAATGCACAGAGCGCTCAGGAGAGTCGCTATTCTCGGGGATCGACAAGCGCCGTTTGTAGTTTAAGGTCCGCCGACCAATGGCGAGCGGCAGGGAGCATTTGTGCACTAGACGACTCCTTAAATCTGCGTGCAGGGCAGCACCCCAAATGCTCTTCACCACGCTGTCTCTAAAACGCGGCCCTGACGCTCCCTTGAACGACTTTCCCCTCGTTTTCCTTTTCTCGTCACGAGAATCCACTCTTTACTCAGCACTCGCTATCCCAGTCGCTCCTTGCTACAATCACCAACAGCGCGTCTGGTCTACGCGCACTACCACGCTCTTTACACATCGTGCTTACAGATCATCGTAATACGCCGAGATGAAGTCATTCGCCCTTTCCACGGCTGCGCTTATCGCAGGCCTTATCTCGACCACCACTGCGCAGACGCACACCGACTGTACGCGACTTGAGGTTTACTTGCGACAGACGTACTGACGTAGACAGGCAACCCGCTCAACACCACAGGATGTCCCGACATGGAGGCGCTTGGCGGAAACGCCACCTTCAACTGGAACAAGACCGGTATCCCGAACAACGACAAGATCTGGCGCATGCCCAACCAGGGCAAGATCGACTGGAACGAGAAGGGCGCGACCTTTGCCATTGAGCGATCCGGCGACTCTCCCACGGCGAACTCGGTCTTTTACATGCTCTTCGGCCGCCTCGAGGTAGTCATGAAGGTGGCTACCGGCAAGGGTATCATCTCCAGTGCCATCCTGCAGTCCGAGGCGCTCGACGAGATCGACTGGGAGTTCCGCGGCGACGACAAGATGATCCTGACCAACTACTTCGGCAAGGGCGACACCGAGACCTACGACCGCGGCAAGGATTTTGATCTTGGCTTCAACCCCCAGGACGGCTACCACAACTACACCATCGACTGGACAAAGGACCGCATCAAGTGGTATGTGGACGACAAGGAGGTCAGGGAGCTCACCCCGGACGAGGCTAAGAACGGCACTCGTTACCCTCAAACACCCATGAACGTTCGTCTCGGATCGTGGGCTGCGGGTGACCCCAACAAGAACGACCCTGGTGTTATTGAGTGGGCTGGTGGCGTGACAGACTTCGACAAGAGCCCCTACATCATGACTATCCAGTCCGTCTACGCGGAAGACTACACCAAGGCTGCCAAGTACTCGTGGGAGGGCATGGACGCATCTGGTGACTGGGAGAAGGTCAAGGTCATCCAGTAAGTTTACGTCCGTCTCCCAACCAGCACAGAACTAACAGGACACAGGGGCAAATCCGAAACCCTCGAGGAGATCAAGTCTCCCCACGGAGTCAGGAACCGCTTCAACGACCTTTCCAAGGGCGCCAAGATCGGCATCATCGCCGGTATCCTCGGATTCGTAGCCATTGCCTCCATCATCATCCTCTTCTGCTGCATCAAGCAACGCCGCGCAGGCAGGAAGGAGGCGCAAGCACTCCTCGCCGAAGAGCAAAAGGAGGCTGCCGAGCTGAGCGAGTACAAGGCGCAGATGCAGGCCGGCAGGTTTGCCATGGGGTCCAACAACCGCGTCTAGATGCCACGAGGGGAGGCGTAGTTGGAGTTGCGGATATAACAATTCTTAATAGAAAGGGGTTTTCTTGCAGCTGGATGGCAGCTTTCCTTGTTGAATAGAGGCTGTTGTTCTCTTGTCATGTCAGTGTTACGACCAGTTGATTTCTTTGTTTCTTGCATGCCGTCCTTTTCATATACCCTTGCGCTGCTTGTTGTCGACCAAGGCTATAGCTTAGTATTTAGTTTGCAATACACTTACCACGGCTTGATGTTGTGTGGTTAAGATCTGACGGCATGCGGCTCTGCAGTGCGTGAATGTTGGTGGCGGCTGACATGTGACGGGCGTTCTCCACAACCCCGGACATATGGCGGCATGCATGGTGCGGCCTGCGCCGGCTAACTTTAAGCTGCCTCGGCATGTGAGCGGCGGGCTTCCGTCGTTGACTTTCACCACTGCCACATTCGTTTCCTCAACTTTCAACCAATATTGCAAAAATGGCTTCTTTTTCACGTTCAATAAGACCCCTCACTCGCGTTGCTACCGCTTCGTCGCGCTCGCTGCGACCGGCTGCCCGCGCCGCCCCGCAGTATGTATACACCACGACGGCGACAATGCACAAGACTAACACCATGGCCACCCAGATTACGATGCCTCTCAACCACTGCCGCTCGCCGGGAAGCGATTGACATCTCAGATGTGCCGCCGACGCCTATTACGCACCTGTCCGAGACGGAGATGCTCATGGGCGAGTCCGTCTCGAAATTCGCCAACGAAGCCATCCTGCCCAAGGCGCGAGCCATGGACGAGGCCGAAGCGATGGACCCGGCGGTTGTAGAGCAGCTCTTCGAGCAAGGTCTCATGGGCATCGAGATACCCGAGGAATACGGCGGCTCAGGCATGAACTTCACATCGGCCATCATCGCCATCGAGGAGCTCGCGCGCGTCGACCCCAGTGTGAGCGTCATGTGCGACGTCCACAACACACTTGTCAACACAGCCATCCTGAAGTACGGCTCCGAGAAGCTTAAGAAGGAATGGCTGCCTAAGCTCGCCACCAACACCGTCGGTTCCTTCTGTCTCTCAGAGCCTGTATCCGGATCCGATGCCTTCGCCCTCGCTACAAAGGCCACACGAACAGACAACGGCTACAAGATCAGCGGAAGCAAGATGTGGATAACGAACAGCGTCGAAGCCAACTTCTTCATTGTCTTCGCCAACCTCGATCCCAGCAAGAAGTACAAGGGCATCACTGCGTTTATCGTAGAGAAGGGCACACCGGGCTTCTCTATCGCGAAGAAGGAGAAGAAACTCGGTATCAAGGCGAGCAGTACCTGCGTCATCAACTTCGACGACGTCGAGATCCCCAAGGACAATCTGCTGGGTAAGGAGTTTGAGGGCTACAAGTACGCTATTGCGCTGTTGAACGAGGGTCGTATCGGCATCGCAGCACAGATGACGGGTCTTGCGCTGGGAGCTTGGGAGAACGCCGCTGGGTACGTCTAACATTCTCCACCAATGTGTCAACATATCTGAACATGCACTAACACCCCACAGCTACGCCTGGAACGACCGCAAGCAATTCGGCCAACTAATCGGCGAATTCCAATCCATGCAGCACCAACTCGCCCAAGCCTGGACCGAAATCCAAGCCGCCCGCGCCCTCGTCTACAACGCCGCGCGCAAGAAGGAGGCGGGTGAGGACTTCATCATGGATGCTGCTATGGCGAAGCTCATGTCGAGTCAAGTCGCTGGACGTGTGAGCGGCCAGGCGATTGAGTGGATGGGTGGTATGGGCTTTGTGAGGGAGGGGCTTGCGGAGAAGTATTTCAGGGATAGTAAGATTGGCGCGATTTATGAGGGGACGAGTAATATTCAGCTTACGACTATTGGGAAGCATTTGCAGAAGAGGTATACGAAGTAGGGAGGTTAAGCATGCCGATTAGAGCAATTGAAGAGTAACAGTGTATTCGTCAGAGCTTTTCTCACTAAGGAAGTGGATGACATGAAAAAAACTTCAGTACGATGATGGGAAGGGGTATGGCTTCTCTATTGTGTATCTTGCTGTGTTGCTGTTTTACTACAATGTTGTGGAGTCTGCCTAGGCATCGACTGCAGTCATCATCTAGACATGTATTGATGACATAAACCACAGTATCGCGTGTCAAAGGGGTATAATCCCTCCCCTGTGTCTTGATGTCTTACTACTCTACTACCGTGTTGTGTAATTTGCGCAGGCATCGTTTCTCATTGTTCTCTACTTCTAACTTTAATAAATAATTTACTTATATTAATACTACTAGTTCTATTAAGCACTTATTACTTATACTTATATAATAACTAAAATATAAGTACTTATTACTACTTACTTAAACGCTAATATTTTTTTAATAACTTAGTTTTTACTATAAAGTTTAAGTATATTTAAAAAGCTAAGTTTACTTTTATTTAAAACCTTTTTACTTATAATTTTATTAAAGAGCTAAAGTAAAGCTTATATTTTATTTTTTAACTGAGCTTTTACTACTATATTATTTATAATATTATTAGTATTTATTTATTAAGTAATATATATAAAAAGCTTTTACTTTATTTAGTAAATTACTTATAAAGTAATTTTATATTCTAAAAATAAAATAGAACTTATTATATTTTATTTTAAATTTTATTAAATTTATAAATATTTTTAGTATATAATAGTATTTCTATTTATACGCTTAGAACTTTAGTCTAAACTATACTATATTAAGTAAGTTAGCTATAAGTTAAAGCTAAGTATAAAGATTTTATTAATATAGTAGTTATCTTAGCTTTATATTTTATTTTATTATTAAATATATTATTTTTTTAAAGCTAAAAGTTTTTTTTTAATATACTATTATAAGTAGTATAGTAGTAAAACTAGTAATATAATAAGAGGCTAAATAGCTATTAAGCTTAAGAGTTAGTGCGCTAGAGAAAGCTAGGTCTAAATAGTGTTTAGATAAGAATATACATATATATATATATATAATATAATTAATTTATATTAAGTACCTATTCTAATAGAGATACTACTAATCTCTCTACTATATATAGCAACTAACTAAAACTTAACTTATTTAGTCTTCTACTTTAGAAAGGCTACGCGCTACCTTTAAGTGCGCATTTTACCTACTAAAGGCTTATTAGAATAATAGTTTAACTAAGCTTTAAAAGAGAAGAGACGTAATTATTATATAATATAATAAAATAAGTAATAGGTAAGTATATAAAATAGAGAATAAGATAATATATAGAATAGTATACCTAAGAGATACGTAGAAGTAAACTATAAGCTATAAAAACCTAACTATATAGAAACCTAAGAAGTAGGCGTACTAAAAGACCTCTAATAATATAAATAATTAGATAATAATAACTACTACTTAGGCTAATAGATAATATAGCTATAGTAGCGCTACGCTAAGTAATATAAAGAGCTAAATAAGAGGTTTAGACTAGGCTAATTACTCTTTAGAGAACTGTATAGATAGAAAATAATAAGATAGAAAGTATATAGCTATATTATTCTACTAAGAATAAATAATAAGACCTAAAAAAAGTTAGAAGAGCTAATATAGTAGATCTTAATTTAGATATAGCTAGAAAAGAAGAGACTAAATAATAAGATAGTAGTAGAAAGCTATTATAGTATATAAAAAAGGCGGTAATAGCTCTTCTAGTAAAGAATATCTAACTTTATTAGTAAATAAATAGTTAAATCTAATTAATAGTACTTATACGTTTAATATTTATACTAGCTATTATACTATTTATAATACTTATATACTACTTTGTATAAATAAGTAAGAGTTAATCTAATAAGGCTAAGATTAATAAATAATCTAAGTTAGTTACTAAAGCCTCTTTAAAAGCCTAATTTACTAAATAACTATCTTTACCTCTCTAAACTAAGCTTATAAAGTCTAAAGCAATACTTATATTATTCTAGAAGAATATTAAGATGCTAGATATTCTAGAGTTCTTAGGCACTGCTAGCTAGCAGCCTTAGATACAACTTCTAGTATAACTCTAAAATAATAATATAGTAAGACTTCTTTAGATAATAGCTTAGTCTCTCTAGTAGCTAAGTAATTGCTTTCTAGTCTATTCTATCTAGCTTTCTCTATACCTATTAGAGATAGTTCTAGTGTTTAATAGAACTAATATTACTACGTTCTTTAAGCGCTTTAAAAATATATTAAAGTACTATAAGTTTATAGATAAAATAAAGATTAATTACCTTTTAGCGTACTATAAATCTAAGTAGAGAGTAATTATCTAAGCTTTAAATAAATATACTAACGCTCTAGTTACTAAATTCTAGAAGAAGTTTAAAGAGGCTCTTAGAAAGCTCTTTTATATAAATAATAAAGACTAACAGAAAGCTTAAGCTAAGTACTTTAAGTACTAGCTTCTATAGTGCTAAGCTAGGTCTAATCTAAATATTAAGAAATACCTATAAGAATTTTAGATTTGTAGTAAGCGCTATATTAAAGTATTAACTATTAATAAAGATTACTAAGAGTTCTACTTAGTTAAGAGACTACTCTTTAGATATACTATAAAGATACTTAATAAGTTTAGTTTAAAGACTAATAACCTAAAGGCATTTAACTATACTAAGATTAGTAACTACTTTACTACCTATCTAGAGGTAGAAGAAGAAGCTTATATACTTAACCTCTTTAAAGTAGTTAAGAAAATTATTCTAGAAGTTAAATTTAACTTAGCGCAGCTAATAGTCTATTAGTAACCTTAGTAACTAGCACTAGTCTCTTAAGATAACTATACGTAGGCTTTCTAGCTACTTAAGCTTAATATTCTACTCTAAGATAAGCCTATTTAGCTCTATACCTTTTAGTTACTTTTAGAAAAAGTACCTACTAATACAGAAGTAGATAACTTAGTTAATAAGATGCTTAACCTAAAAATTAATTATACTAGCCTAAAACTAGAACTATAGAAGATCTAGTAGATCTACTATAAAACTAAACTTATAAATAACTCTAATATATATAGTAAAGTAGACTATTAAGCTAATAAACGCGTAAACTACCTAAGAGCGTACCTACTCTAGAGCTAGAGGCAATACTAGCTAAATAACTAGTATTAACTTTAGTAATAGTAGTAATATAGTAGTTACTAATAGAATACTAGTTAGACGTTCTATAATAACTTCTAGAGCTTTTAGAATCTAGAACCTAGATATAATTAAGGTACTATAAATAGATAGGCTCTTAGAGTAACTCTAAACTATTAGATATATAATAAGAGCAACTATTATAAGTAGAACTATCTAACTCTTTAAGCGTATATAGATAAGAGCTAGCTTTATATAAATAAATAAAATATACTTTAGTAAAGTACGCTAGAGAACCTCTAGAGTTATATTAATAATCTAGGCTAAAGACTATAAGCTAAGAGTATTTTAGCTAAGATTAAATAATAATTTCTAAAAAAGAATATTAACTTTCTTATAGTTAATGTTTAGTTTAGTAGCCTAAAAGCTCTAATTAGCGTAGAGAATAACGCGATTTTAGTTTAGCTTATACTAGACTCTACTAGAAGCCTCTAAGTAGATAATATAGAATAATTCTAGAAGCTTTTAAGTATCTTTACTAAAGATAAATTAGACTACTACCTACGTCTAGTAGACTTAAATTAATATAATAATACTATTATAGCTATAACTATTTCTAGAGTATCTTTAGAGTCTAAGAAAGTAGTATCTTATAACTTCTCTAAGGTTTAGAAGAAAATAATACTATAATAACTTAGTAATAATTATATTCTGCATCTCTAAGGCTATAAGAATAGAATAGAATACTCTTTAAGCTACTAGACTCTAAATAAGAAGAGAGTTGTTTAGTTTAGTAAAGAAGACAATCTTATATAACTAGATAATAGAGCTTCTATAATACTATAAGAGTAATTAAAACTAAAGCCTAAGATAGCTAATAAGTAACTAAGAAAGCGTAAGATTATTAATAAGCTAAAGCCTAATACGCAGGCTATAATTTGCAGCATTCTAGGCACCTTAATTCTCTTTTAGATTAGTACTCTTCTTAGTAATATACCTAAAGTCTGTAAGACGCTATTTAACTCTAACTATATAAATAAGAAGTTAGATAAGTTTAAAGTTAATATTATTAAGACGTTAAGATAATATACTAAATAATAAGATCTATAAGAAGAAGAAGAAGAAGAAGAGTAGAAGGTTAATAAGCTCTTAGGCGCTATAGTTAATATAATTACTCTTAGTACTCTCTCTAACTACGTACTAGTAAAAGTAGAAGCTAGTAGAGTAGTTAACTACTATAGCTTAAAAGTAGAATACTAGACTAACTAGAAGATTAGCTATATACAATAGTATATTATTATAGATTAAGGCTAAGAATATAATTCTAAGAATATAGATTATAACTATCTAAGAAACAATTAAGTATATAATTAACTAATAGGTATTAAGCACTTACGCTAAGACTACCTAAAAGTCTCTATTAATATCTAGAAAAACTTCTTTCTCTCTCTCTTAGACTTAGGCGCTAAGCTAAATACTATTAAGAAGAAGATAGCTAAGAAAGCTATATTACTAATTATATTACTACTAGGTAGTATAAAAGCTGCTTAGATAGTTACTATAAATAGAAGTATAGTAAGCTTTATAAGTATTATCTAGAGTATCTCTATTATTATAGAGTAGATTAAAGTCTAAATAAACTTCTTTGTTATAGAGTTCTGCACTAATCTAATTATTCTAGGTAACTCTTTTCTAATAAACGCTTAGGCGCGTATTAAATATATAACTAATAGATTAATATACTATTATATCTTTAGCGCAGATAGCTAAGCTAATATAAGATTTATATATACTAGAAGTAATAAGCTTATAGCTTCTAG